TTAATGGCAAATGGGAAGCTGAAAGAGCTAACTTGAAATGGTGTAAGTCTTATAAAACCTCAAATATGTCCCCTAGTGACATATTCCTCTGGTAAAGACCACATCTCCTATTCTCCCCAAATAGGCATCATTGAATACCTGAGACTTACTGGGGGTATCTCATTCAAACTATCACATTAACACATTATAAATTGTTGGCACACTTTATAATTTAGGAAATAATGTGTGTGTGTGTGTGTGTGTGTGTGTGTGTGTGTGTGTTTAAGTACAGATGCATTTTACACCCAACCTGTAGATACACAATGCTGTCTGTACTTCCTTCAAAAAAGATATTAAATTGATCAATGATTGGGAAACATTATTTAAGAATAAAAGTCAGTGTAATACTTATAATTCTTACTTCATCAGAATATATGTTTATTTCAGAGAAAAATATTAAGTTTACAGTCCCGTTTCCGTGGCGAAGTGACATGACTGTTAAGTTTTCTTTTAAAGGAAATGTCTGTCTGGTCCATTTCAGACATTGTCGGGAATTTCAGGTTCATGAAACCCATGGGCTTTAATTGACATCTTTTAGGTCTGAAAATTCATGAGTTAAGCAAGTGAGGAGGATGCTGGAGTGGCTCCTCTGTAGTAGTTTACTTTGAACAGCACATCATGATTATCATTCCAAAAAGCTCTGAAATAACATTTTGCTCCTTTGTGTGGCTGGGAGATAAATACCCTTTATCATCTTTTTTTCCCCTCATGGAATCCATTTTAGCTGCACTAATACGCATTAAGAAATTTCTGAGGCAATAGGAAATGTCAGCAAGAATGAAATTAATTGGGTGGTCATCCCTGAAGGTACATATTTAGGGTTTGTTTCTCAGAATTGTCACTTCATCAGTTTGCTTAAAAAATAGGATTTACTTTACTGCTTGGCTTGAGTCAAAAGTAATTTATTTCCCTCAAGATGCTCTTCTTTGACAGAAATGATTTTAACCCAGCTTCCTTATTAACTCACTCTCATTCTACTGTGACAAAACATGGTTTGGTTCTCATCTCTAACTCTTGAAAAGAACTTTGCAAAAACTACATTAAACATCTACACAAATTGCAGTCTTGCCCTGAAATTTTGTTTGCAAAAGCATCATGAATATGAATGATCTTATTTGCAGGATATTGGTAAGAAAGAACTATTTATCTGTTTTTTTTTTATTTTCATTTCATATTCCTCAGACTACCCTTAAAACTTGATCAATAAAATGTGAAATTTTAGCCTGATTTTTATGGTACTCAGTGTGTTTCTCTCAGATCATTACATTTTGGTATATTCTTCTTAACTATACCTCTATCCCATATGTTTTGAGAGTTGAAGTTTATATTAGGCATCTCTCCTCTACAACATCTATTAGTTTCTCCCACAAATACAGACTGCAGGAGCATCCCAAAGCCAGTAAGAAGACTCTAAGGCACCTGGTTGGTATTTTTGTTTATTAAAATAGATATATATATTTAACAATATATTTAATGATCTTCTGCTCAGAACATTGACATTTGGATGGTGGTCTTAGCTCATACATCATCCTAGGAGATAAGTGCTACGAACTGGAACGCCTTCAGGGCCTCACCAATTAAGAGATGGCCAACTTTGACAAGTGTGAGCAATTAAAAGAATTAATGTTTATATGCTTGACTTTAAGGAGTTCTAACTTGATAATTTTTAAAATCCATCATATTGGCAAATAAAACTTGGACAATCCAGCCTGTTAGGTGGGACTTAATCTGTGGAAAGTCAGATTTTCCACATTCTATTTATTTGTTGTTGCATAAAAAACTACTCCCCAAATTAGGTGCTCAAATAATGCTAATCATTTAACTTTTACATATTCTAATTCTAGGTGTGGTCATTAGGCTTAGCTCTATAGTTATTGCTCATGGTCATTCGTGTAGTTATAATAATATAGTTGCTGGGCCTCCTTTCTTACATTCCTACTCATTGGTGTTTACTGGCTAGAACACCTATGTATGCCACCTCTGTATGTGAAACGTCTTAGCAGAATGTTGGTTGATGAACAAAGTTGAATAGCAGAATTCTTGAGGGGAGGGAAGAAAGGAGAGAAACTGGGTTTTTTTTTTGTTTTTGTTTTTTTGTGCATCAGTGTATTGCCCTTGGAAATCATTTTATTTTTTATACAAAACATTATTTATTTATTTGGAGATAGGGTCTCATGTCATAGGCTGACATCAAACTTGATATGTAGCCGAGGAATATCCCCTGACCTCTACCTTCTAAGTGCTTTGCTTATAAGTGTATGGCATCATGCCCAGTCTATGCAGGGCTGGGGATGGTAGCCAGTGCTTCCAGAATTCTAGGCAATCACTCTACCAGCTACTTTCCAGCTCCATTACGTTTTATTCTTTAGTAGTGAGTCAGAAAGTTTAGTTTATAATAAAGAGGAAAGGAATTTAGATTCCATATCTTAATGGGAGTAGAACAAACTATTTTGGAAACAGATATTAAAAGTTTGCATCAGAGAATAGTAAAACTAAATATTTAAAAACTTGGATATAATAAAGGAAATGTACAAAATGTTCTACAGCTTGGTTGGCATGATCCCTGAATAAACAGAAGAAATAAAAGCATCAACAACTGATAAGATCTGTTGGTGCAGATACTTAATATCAGCTCCAGGGACAATTAAGGTTCTAAATGGGCTGAAAATCAATAGCAGGGTTGGATAGGGTTGAGGAATGAGAAGGTCATATATGGAGGTAGGATGTTTTATTAACTCAGGCTGAAGCTTTAAAAGTCTCTCTGAAATGACCCTCACCCATTGGTTGTTTATTTTTTTATCATTTTTTTTGTGTGTGTGTGCATTTGTCTATCAGCAGTTAGAAACATACATGTCAATGTATGGTTCCTACTCTAATGATTTGAACATTTACTTTTACATGAATAGGAAGAGTAAGAAATGGGAAGAGAAGAGGCATCCTGTAGGAACATACATTATTACAGTTATCACATGTATATATTATAGTTGACTCTACTTCCTGTAGTTGTAAACCTGAGGGTCTGACAGCTTTTATTATGGCCTCTTCATCAAAGAGCCAGTAGCAGTATGTTAAATCCTTCTCATCCTTCCAATCTGACTGACTTCCCATCTGCAAGTATCGTTTCTGACCTCTAGTCCTCTGTTGCATTTATTTGATTCTAGGTGGAAAAACTTGCCTGCTCTTAACAGCTCATGTGATTAGATAATCTTAACTGGATAATCCGGGATAAACTCCCTATTTTCAGATCCTTAACCTTATTTACATCTGCAAAGTTCTTTTTGCTGTGTAATGGCAGGATCCCAGGGATTAGGATGTGACAATAATTCTATTCACTAAAGATAGAAAGTTGGGGTCAACAATGATATTTTCTTCTCTACTTGTTTCCTCAAGAAAGTAGGCTGGTCACTAACTTTTTTGATAAACACCGGCTTCTAATTGAACCACTTAAGTCGATTTGACTAAAGACAAGTTACTCTCTTCATTTCTGCTACTTTGTGCAAGTATGTGATACTTCTAGATTCTGTTGTTCTCATCTGTATATGGGCTAAAAATAAAGTTAGAGTGCAGCAAAGTGCTTAGTGACTGCTAACTCATAATCATGATGATATGATGACATAGTCATAGGCTTTTACACAAGTAAGAAGGTATGAGAGGACCAGTAAGAACCAAGATTTGAGTTCATTCCAGTTTTATATTAGCCTGATATACATTAATTTCTTGCTCTGATGTTTTTCTATTAGACATAGAAGAACAAAACATTTGTTTTGAAAAGGGATTTATATGCTTCTTATGTATACTATGGTTTGAACACAGAGCATGTGTTGTGCCACTAAGCTAAATTCTCAGTCCTGTACAAGTTTATTTTTAAGCAATTTAGCTTAAAATGAATTGCCCAGGTTTAATTATAAAAGACAGTGACTGGGCTAGATACCACCTGGTTCCTATTTCACATAGCCCATGAACCAAGAATGATTTTGAGATTAACGTTTTAAATTTGTCTGATGTTGACAAGCCACAAGATAAACTACAGTTAATTAAAATAATATTCCACCTCAAAACAACTCTGTCATTTTCACAAATACTTATTATTATACTTAATTTTATTAATTATTATTTGTGGAAAGTTTAATATTTGATATCTGTATACTATCTTTAGTTTTCCTTCTTCATCCATAAAGCCTGAAGTGTTTATACTTTAAATTTTTAGAGAATATGTGCTACATTATGATCTAAGTAACCTATGTATTTGATAACAGGATATAGACAGTTCATAGCTATAAGGGAACCCAACATCTAATGCAATATCTTTCACTTTAATTTGCTATTGTTATGACTACTGTTATTATGTGCATTATCCTGTGTGTGTGTGTGGGGGGGGTGCGTGCACAGACATGTGTATGATGGGTTTGTAAGTACACGTGTGCATGCTATGATGCCCATGTGGAGGTTAGAGGACCACTTTCAGGATGACTCAGGTCATCAGGATTACAGGGCAAGCACTTTATATGCTAAACCATCCTATCAGTCCAATACCCTCACTTTACAGCCGATCCAACAAAACTCAGCTGGTTATAGAGAGAGTTGAGGCATTTGCAACTGAAATCAGTAAACTTTTCAAGGGAACAGGTAGTCCTTTGAGTAGCATGGTGGTATATTATTCATTTATCTTTATGTGGATCTCTGTACTACCAACCTAAAATGGTTTCGTAGATAGGTCAGGAGCGATGTAGGCCAGAAAGGTAGCTGGCCCACGGGTCATCTGAACAAAACCTGGCAAATATCAGCTTGCTGCTATGTGTCTCCATTTTTAGAGGGATCACCTCTGATTGTATACCTCTTGTTAAAGGTTTTTCAGATTCACTCATGTTGCTTTTATTTTATTTATTGTTTCTGTTTTATGGTTAATTTTTTCTTATCTGGATACTGATGGCTACCTGTGACATTTGTCTTTCTTTCTGCAGGTGGTTTACAAACCCAACAACAGTCAATGCCTTTTACAGTGCATCTACCAACCAGATACGTGAGTACCAAATTCTTGATGGCGATTGCATTGATCCTGTAGTTTGCTTTTGGTAGACTGGCCATCTTCACAATATTAATTCTTCAAGTCCTTGAACATCTTTCATCTCCTAGTGTTTTCTTTAATTTCTTCAGTGTTTTATTGAAAAGATTTTTCACTCCTCCTTATAAGTTCATAAAAATTTATATCACCAATGGCTTTTCAAACTATAATAAACAGAACTGCGATGAAGTTTTTCATCATAAAGAACACACATTCTTTTTTCGATTTATAATTCTTTTGATGGATGATCTTGTCCACACCATCCTTGCTTTGATGGGGGAAATGACAGTTAACTGGGAGCAATTTTCAGGGAATAAAGAAGCTTAAAAGTGTTTTTATTAACTCTAGGATGTAATGTCTTTAGGTTGTTTATTTCTGTGTGTTGGGTATGTGTAATTATATATACTCTCCTGGTTAGTTTTAATTATTAACTTGACAAAGATTGGAGTCATCTGAGATGATAATCTCTGTTGAGGAACTGCCTAGACCACATTGGCCTGCAGGGCAGTGTGTGTGTGTGTGTGTGTGTGTGTGTGTGTGTGTGTGTGTGTGTGTGTGTGTTGGGGGGAAAGCCCAATGTGAGAAGCACCATCCCTAGGCAGGAGGTCCTGAGCACTATAAGAAAGTTAGCAGTCTTTAAGCCTGCTAGTAAGCCTTCCTTCAGGTTAGCTAGCAAGCAGCACCTTGCATGGTTTCTGTTGTACTTCATTAGTTGTGAAGTGAATTCCTCTGTCATAGGTAATCCTGTGAGGAATGACAAGCAGACCTGCCTACAAGTTCCTGTTTTGTTTTCCCTCAATGTTGGATCATGGTCTGGTATTGTTTTTTTTTTTTTTTTTTTTTTTTTTTTTTTTTACTTTATTTTTTTTTATTTATTTTATATAACCAAGTCCATTTAAATGAAAACAAACATTTATAGATAATATTTTGGAATTTGGGTGTCGTTCTTTCCAAACTGCTTCCTGCTGGTAAGGGGCGCTGTCATGGGGGATTCGAAGAAGATTCGGAAATCCTTGCTGTAGTCCGTAAGGCTGCTTTGTCCAGCTGTTTTGAATGTAGGATCACCTGGCACTCTGTTTCAGGTGGCCTGGCTTGATCAAACCCCATTAGTCTGGAAGGAATCCACATCTTTTCATTTTCTGTGGAAACAAAAATAGAAATCCTTTTCCCCAGTAACTTGTCCTTGAACTTAAATTTTGGAGTCAAAGCATTTTTTTCAATTTAATTTATTATTTTACATGTCGATCCCAGTTCCCTCTTCCTTGCTCCTTCCTTCCCTCCCTCCCTCCCTCCCTCCATTCTTCCCTCCCTTTTAACCTCTCTGCCCTCTCACATGCACTCTAACCACCCTCCACTCCCATTCCCCCCACCCCAATTCCATATGTAGGGGAATGCAATTCTCAATAGAGGAAATAAAAAAGGCTGATAGACACTTAAGAAAATGCTCCACATCCTTAGTTATCAGGGAAATGCAAATCAAAACAACTTTGAGATACCATCTTACTCCTGCCAGAATGGCTAAAATTAGAAACACCAATGATGAGTCATGTTGGAGAGGATGTGGAGAAAGGGGAGCACTCCTCCACTGCTGGTGGGAGTGCAAACTCATACAGCCATTTTGGAGATCAGTATGGCAGTTCCTCAGGAAAATGGGACCCGGCAATCCCCCTCTTAGGCATTGTCTGGTATTGTAAACCAACCCTCAACCCCCAAGTAATTTTTGGTAAGGTTATTTTATCACTGCATCTGAACTAAAACTAGAACAAATACTATTATTAATTTTTAAAATTATTAAGGCTCAGTATGACAAAAGTTAAAAATCTGATAGCATTCAGAATTGGTATTAAATATTCTGCCACTGATGGAAACATAAATTAGGCTAACCACATTGCAAGGCAAGTTGACAATGTGTAGAATATTCAAATAGGTGCTTACACATCTGTGATCATCTGCATGCCTGATCTATCCCAGAATTTGATTCTTAGTGTCATTTTTGGACCATGAAAAAAAAACACTCTGGGGGAACTTGTCAGAAATACAATGTCTCAGTCTCTAGCTTATACAAAAACTTTGGATGCAAGGCTCAAAAACTGGTTTTAATAACATTTCTAATTGTTTCTACTGAATACTAAAGTTTGAGAAACCTTTTCCATAGAACACAAAGCAGGGTAAAAAGAAGCCCATGAAGAATGTTTGTGGCAAGGTCATTGATGGAAGCAGGAAAAAGAAATATCTCATGTGTTTTTGAGTACAGAAATAAAGTGGCACATTCATACAAAGGCATAGCATGCAACAGTGAAAGTTAGATGACCTATTATGACACCTATTAACAGATGAATTTCACTAATTAGGTTCTACAGCAAATCAGTAACTAGAAAAAAATCTATATCTATGGAGTATGATACCTCATTAATAAACAATTCAGAATAATCCTATATATTTTTTACAGCCACATCCACTTGTAGTAAAAGTTATTCAGGAAAAGGAAAGACATCAAATTCATGTTGGTGTTGTGACCTCTTGTGGGGATAGCTGACTGCTCTAGGTTAAACTTTTTTGGTTTTCCTTATATCCTCTACCTGTCCATGATGACATCTTAGAGCTCAGTCCTGGTTCCTATCCTGCTTGCCCCCATTCTCCATCTTTGCTCACTATTGCAATGATAGCATCTAATCTTGTGGTTTCAATAGCATTTCTATGTTGGTGAACACAGGATGAGATTTATTAGATTTACCATCCTTACTCTTGAGACCACTGCTTCCTAGCTGGATGATAAGAAGACCCTTCTCATTTGTCTTTCTTCTTCTGTCTTCACCTCTTCTGGACTGTTCTGTTCATGATTCCACCATGTCACTCCTGTCTTCAAATCCTTTTATCCATCTCTTATCTTACTGAGTTTAACAATTATTATTTGCAATGCCTGTTTTTTTCTTTCTTGATAAGGTCTCATGTATTCCTGGCTATCCTCAAACTTACTATGTAGCTGAGGATTGAACTTGATCTTCTGATGCACCTGCCTCTACCTCCCATGTGCTGGGGGGGTTGCATGTGTGTCATCACAGGAGGCATGTGTGGTGCTAGGGTTGGAACCTGGGGACTAGTGCATGGTAAGCAAGCATTCTGCCAGCTGTACTACATCCCCAGCCCAATATTTGTAATTTCTTTACTTTTACTAATTGCAGTACCATTTCTTTCTCTGTTCAGCCACATTGGCTTCCTTTCTGTTACTAGACCACAGGGGGTAAATAGACTTCTCTCAGGGAATTGACATAGTTTTTCTCCTAGAAATTTCCTCAAGTGGTCTGCATGGTTCATGCCCCATTTACTCTTGGTAGTGACTCAAAGATCTCTTCTCAGTGAAGTATCATGCCTCTCCCACAGTCAGTCAGCCCCATATGTCATAGGTCATCCACGTTTTACCTAGACCTTATAAGACTCTGTGTCCCAAGATGCAGTTGGAGGATTTCACTTACTAGTAGAGTTGCTCTCCTGTGGCTACTGATGGAAATGGTAATCTGTAGGACTATCTTGAGAGTTATGAACAGAAGGAAACCAAGCAGATGGTGTTAATTTTTGATTTCTACATTAATTAATATAACCAAAGAAGTTGTTAAATATTTTGAGTGTCACTTCTTAGTATGTAAATATTCATTATGCTGAAACTACTGTTCCTTTCTTGGTGTCCAAAGTTTCAAGTTGAGTACCAAGCTGCATATGTTACATGGAGAATTAAGATATTTGAGATGTCAATACAATTACAATTTTTAATACTTATCTAAATGCATTATATATAAAATGTCCATTGAGCAATAGAATACTGATTAAATTATTTATTTTATTACTTTTACTAAATTTTTACTTATGTGTCATGGAATATGTATGAAAGTAAGAGAACAACTTGCAGGAATTAGTTCCCTCCTTCTACCTTGTGGGTTGTGGGCCTTGAACTCAGGTTATGAGGCTTGGCAGCAAACCCCTTTATCTACTGAGCCATTTCACTGAACCAGATTATTTATTTTAATAGAAAATTTTAATAGATGAAAGTTATATTATACAAGCAGGTATCTCCAGATGAGTTGGTGGTATGCCATAGGAAGGGCAGAGGCTTATTAACCCAATCATTTTTCTGATTGTTCTGGTGTAACCTTAAGTTCACATTGCCAAAGGTGTTTTTTGTGGTATCTTGCTTTTCATTCTTAGCAGACAAGGAAAGTTCAGGCACAGTTCTTTCTTCTACATGTGATGTTTTCACTTTGAAGTATTCTCTACACCAGTTTGGCGAGTTCTGGTCTCTTGATATGGTTGGGAAAGCAGAGGCACAGGTGTCCCAGGTGTCTCTAGTTTCATGTCTTAGAGGGGAACAAACCAGATCATCCTGGTCAGAAAGACATCAGAAAGAAGTAAGTTGAGCTGAAAGGATTATATATATATATGAATTATATGAGTTCTTAATTGGTATAAATAATAAAAACCTGGAGTCAGCTATAGAGGAAAATGCTGATAAATCAGAGAGAAGAAGGAGGAAGCCAAAGCCACTATTACCTCCTATTGTGGTTTAATAAGGATCAGGATAAACAAATAGGCCGAATAGGTGTTTATTTGGGGAGAAATAACTTACAACCTAGACAGATGAACACCAGCAAGTTCCACCGGATGCTTTCCTCTCCGTGTCCTGCCAGCAAGAGAACATTCCCTGGCTCCTCCTCAGACCTAGTTCCATGGGTCACTTCCGCCCCTGGCTCTACTCCCAATGGGCGTAGTCAGTGCCACAGAAGGAGACAAAGTGAATATCCCACTACAACCTCCTTTGCATCTCAGCAGACAAGAGAGCTAGTTCCTGTTTCTTCCTGCTAATATTTTTCTCTCAGCTCAGATCCATTTTACTTCCTGTCTGTGCCCAGCTATCTCACTTCCTGTTTCCAACCAGTCATAATACTTCCTGTCTGTCTGTACAGCCC